ATCTTGTTGTGTCGGCTATGTACATCTCGGGGCGTGTTCCGGCCAGGTGGTCCCACGGCGTGTGCATGATGCACGTGGGAATGGTTTGCCCATGGTGAGAGCGAAATGGATTCTTCCTCTCGCTCTCATTCTCTGTCCGGAGCCACGACCCCGGCGACAAAAACCGGACACGTAACCTTATTGGAGCATGCTGCTGACTGATTCGCCCCACCTGCTGTTTCTGCTGTTTCCCGTGCAGGGAACAGGGGAGTCATCCTCTTTCTTCCTGCTCACTCGCGACGTTGTAGGATTCCTCACTAGCTGCCTTCCCTTTTGCTTGGGGTGCGTTCTAGCCTCTTGATTTGGGTCACTTCTTGCAATGGCGTCTCCCTCTCTGGGGTGCGTTCCGTCTCGGGGCGCGTTCTGACCGGATGGTCCCGCAGGATGTCTTGTTGTGGCGTGAAGCCGGATTACCGGCGAACGCGCGCAAGGTGTAGTGGGTGCATGATGCACGTGGGAAGCCTCGAGGATGAGGCAAGCTTTTGTTCGTCTCGTTGTTTTCCCTGTGGCTGCAGGAACAGCCCGAAAAAAATGTGGGTGCTGCGGCAGTGGATGACCGAGGGTGGGAGCAAGGGGGACTCTCTATTTCTCTCTCTGTCAGGAGCCACGGCCCTGGCGATAAAAACTGGACACGTAGTCTTAATGGGGATCTTGCTGACAGTTTCGCACCACCAGCTGTTTCCCATGCAGGGAACGGGGGAATCGCCAACACGCGGCCCCATCCTCTCCTTCCCCCTGCTCGGTCGCCCCCCTCCCCTCCCTCTCTCCCTTCCCCCTCTCGTCCGTTTCCTTCCTCCCCTCCTCTCATCCTCCCAGGGCCGCCGATCATGGCGGGGCGTGCTAATTGCAGACTTACGAATTGTGGGGAGGCCTATGTTCTTGCAGGGTTAGTATTCATCTCGCAGACGTGGCGGGATGCCCCACCCCCTCCCCGCTGCTTAGGGTGCTTTCTGGTCTTGTAGTTTGGGTTCAGTCTTGCTGTGGAGACTCTCTCTCTCTCTCTCTCTGGGGTGCGTTCTGGCCGCATGGTTTCGCGGGGGGGTCCCGCCGGGGCGAGGGGCGCGTGAGTACAGGGAAAAACTGGGATGCGTGCAAGAGAGTGTGCCGAAGGGGTGGGCCGGGGGCCGGCGCATGACTGGTGATGGGGATTTCTTGCAGGGGGCGAGTTACCCCGGGGAGGTGATCCCACCCTGGCACAAGGGCTCTGGCCCCCTGGTGTGGGTATGACCAACCGAGGGCTGCCATGTGGATGGGAGGGGTCCCCAGTGTGGTCAGACATGGGTCCTTCAAGGCATTCCCTATGCTCTGAGCCTGCACGGCACCGCGGGGCAGCCCAACCTGGCATAGCCAGGGTTCTGGAGCTGGGTATGGTGCCCCTCACTTTGCCTACCAGCCACCCTCGCGGTGCTTGAGGCGTGCGAGGCGGACAACTGGTAAACAAGATGCACTATACCACATAGGTCACCACCCAGAAGAGCGCCAGGGGCAAGAACGAAACATCCCACCAGCTGGAGCATCATAGAGCACCAGCCAGAGGGCACCAGGACAAGAAGGAGACATCGCGACAAGTTAGAACTCACAGAACACCCATCATAGGGAACCGCCCATTGAGCGCCAGGACAAGAACGAGACACCCTGACAACGGCGGCAGTGCAAGAACGAAGCATCGCAACAAGTGATGCATCACAAAGCATCAGGCGTAGAGCACCAACCATAGGGCACCACGCATAAAACGCCAGGACAAGAACGCCACATTGTGACAACTGAGATAGGGCAATAACGAGACATCGCAAGTAATCAAGCATCATAGAGCACAACATATATAGAGCTTCAACCATATGGGGAGAGTGGCAATAACGAGAGAACGCGATAACTATTACCAATCCGTGTTCTAACACAAAAAGGCCGCTTCGTGCAAACAGTGTACGGGAACTGGCGGCTTTCGCATAGACGCGCCATAGTGAAACCAGCCCTCTGGGCGTAGGTGGTCTAGAGCGCTTCCTCTTCCAACCCCCTTCTTCCCCTTCGGGGCGGGGTTCATCACTGTTCCTTATTCGCATACACCACCTCCCCTAGGCGACCAGCGTCCAACCAAGAACCATGCCGACACCATGCCGACCCGCCGCCCACCATCCCTGTCAAAAAACAATACAAACCGCGCTCAGCCTCCACATTTGGAGCATGCGTGGCCAACCTGATGCGGCCCCCCGCACCATCCCTGTCAAAAGAACAATGCAAACTACACTTTGGGGCAACAGCTTGAGTCATGTTTGTGAGGCCCGCGAACACTTGATATTGTTTTTGGCAAGCACGGCGGGGGTGCCAGCATATGCCCTGCCGTGCGCAGGGCTGCCATCCCTGACAAAAAACAATACAACATGCAACTCGCGGTGAAATCTGGATCATTAGAGCCCTCCTAGATGGGGTCCGAGTAGATGGGGTCGAAGGATTGCGCCGCATCGCCAATGCATCGCCGATGTATCGGCGATGCATCGGCAATGCATCGCCGACTTCGTCGATGCATCGGCGACGCTGGCGTGGGGAAATATGGGCTCCACATCGAGCCGCATCGTCGATGCATTGACGATACGGCGCGATCCTCCGACCCCATATACTCCGACCCCATCCAGGAGGCCTAGAATCATGCGCGGCCATCCCGCGATCACTGTCAAATGGTTTCTGACAGGGTCCGCGGGTTGGTGGCGCGTGGTCTGCTGTGCGCAGGCCCACCAAACACAACGATGGGCATTGGTTTTCGACAGTGATGGCTGGGGTTGACATGTTTCCCGATGTGTGCTGTCACGTGCGCCGGCGAACCTGACGCACTCTGCACGTGCCGCGAGCATGGCGCACCTGGCGCGGCTGGAGTGTGCGGCACTCCTGGCGCCCTCGGAGCACGTGGCGCATCTGGCGCACCAGGCGTGCCTGGCACGCTCGGGCCCCAGAGGTGCCTGGCGCGCGTGGCGCCCCTGGCACGCTTGGCGCACCTCGCCCAAGCGTCGCGCACCTGGGGTCGGCTTTGGTTCCCAGTAGCTGTCCATCCAACGACGACCGCTGAACATGCTCAGGCTCGGGTGTTATTTATGTGTTGGGAGGGCGGGCGGGAGTGAGCTAGACGGCTTGCGGGCGGGTGGGTAGCTTGATCACTGTTCCCTATTAATAAACGCCCCCTCCCCCAGGCGACTGGGGGCCAACCAGGGACCATGACGACCCCCCCCCCACCATCCCTGATAAAAAACAATGCAAAACACACTCTGCCTCCAAATTCGGAACATGCGCAGCCAACCCGATGCGCCCCCCCCAACATCCATGTTAAAAACAATACAAAGTACACTTGGCGGCGGCGGTGGCTGCGGCGGCTGCGGCGGCGGTGGCGGCGGCTGCGGCGGCTGCGGCGGCGGCGGCGGCGGCTGCGGCGGCGGCGGCGGCGGTGGCGGCAGCGGCAGCGGCTGCGGCGGCGGTTTGGCAGCGGGGGGCGGCGGCGGCGGCGGCGGCGGCGGATTTGCCCCCAGTAGCTGCCCATCCAAAGACGACTGCTGAATATGCTGAGGCTCGGGCCAGACTCGGGTGCTACGTATGTGTTGGGAGGGCGGGTGGGAGTGAGCGAGACGGCTTGCGGGCGGGGAGGGGGTCTTGACCCCTCCCCCTACCCCCTCCCCTGGACCTGGACGGGGCGCCCCGCGGGTAGTTAGAGCGTACAATATTGCCCAAGACTGCTCCAAGAATGCCTCGGAGAACCCAACAGGATCCCCAAGGTGGCTCAAGATAGCGCATGATGCCTCAACATGGCTCCCACGATACTCCAAGAGGCCTCACGACCGCCCCAAGACGGCTCCAAGAGGCCTCCGAGACCCCCATGGAGGCACCCAAGAAGCACAAGTCGACCAACGACCAGGAGAACACCCATGGTTTTCATATCGGCGCCTTTTTGCTTCCGATGACCTTCCGAAGCCTCAAGATGGCTGGCTCAACGATGCCCCCCAGAGAGCCCCAAGCGAGGCCCACGAGAACCCCAATAGCGCTCAAGAGCGCCCTAAGGGCGCCCCAAGAGCGCCCCACGATGCGATTCTTGGGGCCCCCGAGGGGCAAGACTAATGCATTCTCCCATCTTTTCTGATCGATGTCCTCCAAGATGGCCCCAAGCGCGGCCCTAAAGCTCCCAATATCGCCCCAAGAGGGCCCCAATATTCGCACAGACTGCCCAATTGGCCTCCAAGAGGCCTCCAACAGGCCCCCCAAGAGCCACTAGAGAGACCTCAAGAGGATCCCCGAGGCACCCAAGACGCTCAAAGATGACCTTGAGTCCGCCAATACCCCCCCCAGACGCCCCAAGAAGTTCGAAAACCATTCGAGGAGGAGACTCCGAGACGTAGTCAAGATGCTTCTGGCCCATCTCCGAGAAGCATTCAAGAGGCTTCTGGCTCTTCTGTTCGCCCTTTTCCTCGTACTCCTTCCTTCTCCTCTTCCTTCTCCTCCTCATCCGCTTACCCCTCCTCCTCCCTCCTGCCTCCTCCCCTTCCCCCACCTCCTCCTGCTCCTCCTCCTTCTCCTCCACCTCCTCATCCTCTTCCTTGTTTTTTTCCACTCTCCTCATCCTTCCTTCCCCTCGTCCTCCTCCTCCTCCTCCTCCTCCTCCTCCTCCTCCTCTCCCTTATCCCCCTCGTCCTTCTTCCCCGCCTTTCCTCATTCGGCAAGTCCGCGAAGGCGCATACGGTTCGCTCCTGGGTCTGCACAAACTGACCCAAAACTTCAATTTGACGGCTTCTCCAACTCTTGATCCACTGCATGCTCCTCCGCTTCCCTGATCATGGCAGCTCGCCTGGACATCGTTTGTGGACGGACTGGTGGGGAGACGCGAAGCTTCAAGACTTTTTTGTTTGAACCATTTGATAAATCTGGTCCTCTCGTCCTCGTCTTCGGCATCCTCCCTACTCCTCCGAATTCCCTGCTGGGCCGCTCTCCTTGTGGAGGTCAACCTTTGGCTGGCCCTTCTCCTTCCAACCACCGCGGGACTCACCTGCTTGCGGCTCTCGTTGGACCTCGGGCGACGCTCGGGGCGCGGCGATCCACGACAAGGATCCCCTGGTTGGCGGGACACGGGCTCCTCTGGCTGGTCCTTCTGTGGCCCAAGCTGGAACCCGATGGTCAATTCGACAAGAACAGTCCAAACCTCTGGTCGGCCATGGAGGACAGACGGCCGCATCTGGAGGACGAGCTCCACACTCCACCTTGATGTCAACGCGGACCCAATGCGTTTGCCAGGTACCGTCGACACAGAAGCGTGGATCTATTCGTTTAAGCGTCCCTAAGCACCCAAAGGCTGAGAGGGCGCAGAGATGCAGACCATCCGATGTGGACACGGAGTGAGTCGCGAGCCGTTCCAGCAAGTAAGGGAACTAATCGCACCAGAGAATGCTCGAAACCGTTATTCGTCCGTAACATGTAAGAGCAGCGCTTGGGTGGTGGGCGAGACAACAGGACGATGGATGCGCATCTCAGTGCCCCCTACTCTCGCCTTTCTACGCTCTACTCCCTACCCTGTGACCATCTCCTCTACATGTGGCTTCTGCACTCCACCCTCTACTCTCCGCTCTAGTCGCTCTACCCTTTACTATCTATTCTCGCCTCTCCACTCTGGGGTCTCGACTCGGGGCTCCTGCACACTGCTCTGTGCTTTGTGCTTTCGACTCGTTTATCCTATTACTGCACGATGCATTCTCGACCGCTAATCCTATAATACTTACTCTTGGCGTCTAAAACCGGACCGCGCCCATTCTGGCACCAAACACTTTCCGCATGCAATTCTAAACTGTGGGTGGCACGCGCGCGCTGAGCGGGTACCATCCTAGTGAAATAACATAATGCCGTGCGCACGCGTTGATCTTACAAATGCGTTTGGTGGCAGCCCCAACCAAACGGTATCATGTGGACCACACGCGGGCGCGCACACATGGACGCCATCTATGTGTTTGAAGCATGTCATGGTACTCCTTAGAGAAACCACTTGGACTTTAAGATGTGTTGTAATTGTTTTCGCGCGCTGGCCTGCTAACGTCATAAGAGACCCGTCGATATCCTGACACAGAGCTCCATTTAACATGGGCCCCTGCCCCACTCCTGTCAAGTGCTTCCACGCGGGCCACACGCGCGCGCTGAACAGGCAACGTGCCTGTCAAAGAGTGCCACGCGGGCCACGCGCGCGGCAATCCGCATCAACGCCAGTAGCAGGGAGCGCGTCTGACTTCACACATGTGCGCGGTCTTGTGATTTTCGAGGGAGCACGATCCACCGTCGCTGGCCTGAAACATTTCTCCTCGGAATGGTCAGCAACCAGGCCCCCCGCCCACCCCCTCAAAGAACTCTCAAGGTGGAGGCCAAGAACCGAAGGGCCCCCCCAACCTCCCCCCCCTAACCCCATCCTCCCCCGCCTCCCTCAGAGGAACCTAGGGTGTCCAGACCCCTCCCCCTGGCAAAATCACTGGTGGGGTCCGAATCCCCCCCTCCCCTCCAGAACCCCCCAACACTCTGGTATATGATTAGGGCGGTCTAGAGACCCACCCACACCCGGCGACGACGACGACCACGACGACGACGACGACGGCGACGACGGCGGCGGCGGCGCACGTGTCGCCAGCGCCCGTGCCAGGCGCCAGCTCTGATAGAATGCTTCTGGGGCTCGATTCAGCTTTCTCAGTATCCTACTAGGGCCCCACCCTACTTTACCCTACTCTACTCTACTCTACTCTGCCGTGCTCTACTCAACCCTACTCTACTATACCCTACCGTAGCCTAACATACTCAACGCTACTCCACTTTTGATATTGCCCTACTCCACTCCTTCTCCATTCTACTCTATTCTACTCTACTCTGTCCTACTTTACCCTACCTGCAGTACCTTAACATACTCTGCTCTAGTCTACTTCGCTGCTGCTCAACTCAACTCAACTCAACTCAACTCTGATCTACTCTACTCCTACTCAGATCAGCTCAGCTCAGCTCTATTCTATTTCTCCTCCATTCTGTCCATCTGCTTTTTTTCTACTCTACTTCACTCTTCTCTACTTTAATATGGTCTTCACCTCCCGACTCTACTCTAATATATCACACTCTTTTCTACCCTACTATATCGCACTCTATTCTACTCTACTCTACTCTGCTCTACTCCTGTTAAACTCTACTCTGCGTCTACTCTACTCTGCTCGTCGTCGTCGTCGCCGCCGTCGTCGTCGTCGCCGTCTTCGTCGTCTTCGTCGTTTTCGTCGTTGTCGTCGTCGTCGTCGTCATCGTCGTCGGGGGTGAGGGGGTGGCTTTGGCTTTGGCTTTGGCTTTGGCTTTGGCGTCGTCCTCGTCGTCGTCGTCGTCGTCGTCGTCGTCGTCGTCGTGGGTCGTGCGTCGTGCGTCGTGCGCCGTGCGTCGTCGTCGTCGTCGTCGTCGTCGTCGTCGTCGTCGTCGTCGTCGTCGTCATCGTCATCGTCGTTGTTGCCGGGGGTGGGTGGGTAGGTTCTGCACTCCGCACATGATTTTCCTGGGAGGGGGCTTTTGGGCCGCCCCGCTAATTTTCTCGGGGGGAGGGGGGTTGAACCCTCCCCTCCTGCCAGCAGCGGCAGACAACTGTCTGTCTGGTTTTTGGTCGAGGAGGGAGAAGCGCCAGAATCCACGACTCGTCCCGCACATGCAAGCCTTCCATCAGGAGGTAGAAAACGCAAAGTAGGCAGACTGCCTTGTGATAGAATTCGGTGGACAACTTGCAAATTAAGAAAGCCCCGTCGCTCACTTCAGTCACGGCCTCCAGTATGAAGGAGAACCTGTATGACACGAATGGCTACGAAAGGGCAAGCTATTGGGTTTGATGCATCACTTGGGGTGTCATTTACTCTCTACTCTACTTTTTGTTTGTTCTCTCTCTCTCTCGCTCTCTCTCTCTGTCTCTCTCTCTTTGCACTCTTCACTCTGTTTACTCGCTCTGTTCTCTGCTCTGTCTACTTTGTCTTTTCTCTGCGCTCTCTGTTCTCTCTGCTCTAGGAACCTGGGACCCCCGCCCGCCCACTGGAATCGGTGGGAAACTTTCATAAGGGCCCGAAACGTGTAAGCGGGGCACCTGGCCGCCTTCTGCAATCGGCGGCGCACGGCGGCACAATTTCGCCAAATCCTCCCATTGCCGGGAACCCAAGAAGCGGAAACGGGAACTCCGAACCTTGGAGTCCGAGAGAATGACAATGAGTGAACGGGATCGATGTTCTCCACCAGAACCGTGACAATACTTGCCCAATGACGTGAGACTCAAGACCGCTACGCAAGCCTGGAACATCACACGAGACGTCGCCAATAGCAAACACGCTTGTGGAGTGGCGCAACCAGTCAGTACGATCCTGTCCTTTCGTTTCCTGTCTCCACCTCGCCCATGCGGGCCGTACCATAGCACGCCTGTGCTTGGACCAGACTGACGAGGCGGCGTGGCCGCCGAAAGCTCACAGAGCGAGCCTGCAAAACGAGAGCCACGCCGCTGCACCGTGCGGGGCCGGGGAACGACCGCCGAGGTGAAGGGGGAAGGCCGCCCGAGCCGCGGGCGAGCCCCCACTGCTCCAGCCTCTCGAGCCCGCGCTCGAAGCTCGGCCAGACGCCGGCGTCTGGGAGCCCAGCGTCCGCGATCATGCGCCTCAAGGCCTTCGTGGCGTGCCGCTGCACGTCCTCGGCCCCCGGCCTCTTCCGGCTGCCTCGCCTCCTGCCCCCCGGCCTCCCCTCCGGCGCCCCCGGCGCTCCCCCTCCTCGCCGTCGTGCCACTGCTGTGCTTCCCAATCCTTGCCCTCGAGCTTCCCCCCCCCTCTCTCCTGCTTCTCTGCGTCCTCCTCCTCCGTCTCCTCGGACTCCCTCTCTTCTTCCTCCCTCTCCCTCCCACTCTCCGCTTCTCAGATAATCAATCCTCTGCTTCTCCTGCTCCCTGTCCTTTTCGTTCTATTCGTCCTCGTTATCTGCTTCCTCCTCATCCTCATTCTGCTCCTGCTGCTGCTGCTGCTGCTCCCCATCCTGCTTCGCCTCCCTCTCCCTCCTCCTCCTCCTCCTCCTCCTCCTCCTTGGTCGGCCAGGTCGTGTGAAGGCAGCACTTCGGAGCCCAACCTGGGATATCTAAGTATTTTGGCCTCCACCTCTTGACGCCTCCACCAGGCTGAGGGGGGGTGGCAGAGGGGGGAAGGGAGACCAGCTCCTCCTTTTTGCCACCGTCGGGCAGCTGCTTCAGCCCGAAATCCGCCGACCCTGTCGGCGTGCGTGAGAGGCTTTTCCGTTTGAGTCGTCGTCGTCGTCGTCTTCGTCGTTTTCGTCGTCGTCGTCGTCGCCGTCGCCGCCGCCGCCGCCGCCGTCGTCGTCGTCGTCGTCGTCGTCGTCGTCGTCGTCGTCGTCGTCGTCGTCGTCGTCGTCGTCGTCGTCATCGTGCTGTCGCCGTCGCCGCCGCCGCCGCCGTCGCCGTCGCCGTCTCCGTGGCCTCTCCCCGTTCCAACCAAAGGGAAATCGGGCAAAGTCCTAAGTGAGTCGAAGGGAAGCTCCTCCCCTTTGATCCCTCCCCCGCGGGGGGTGGGTGGATGGGGGAGTGGGGTGGGTGGGTGAGGGCATGGGTGGGGGTGTGGGGGTGGGTTGGGGGGGTCCTGGGAGTTGTGACCACCCTCCGGGGGGGGGCGGGGGGGGGGCACCCCTCCCTGGGAGACGCTTTCCCCTCTGATTCTTGCCGCCTCGACGTCTCGAACTTACTTGTACCGCGGCTTGCTCCAAGAGGGCCCTGAAACATCCCAAGATCGCTTTAAGACGGCCCAAGATACCCTCAAGACGGCCTCAAGACCCCCCAAGACGCCCAAAAGGAGCTCCAAGAGGAGCCCCAGGAAGCAACCGTCATTGGTTTTAGTAAGGTTTTTCCATGTGTTTCGCGTCCTCGCCTTCTCGGGCTTCCGACGCCAAGACGGCCCAGGAAGCCCCCAAAATCGTACCAAGATGGCCCAAGAGGCTGCTGGAAGCGCCCCCAAACGTCCCCAAGACGGCCCAAGACAGACCCAAGACGGCCGAAGAGGGCCCCCCAGGCGGCCGAAGAGGGCCCCGAGAAAGCCTTAAGAGGCTCCCGACAGGAGGAGCAACACCAACCGACATGTCGAGCTTTCCGCCGCAAGAGGCCCCTAGGCGGCCCCAGTAATCGCCCAAGAAACCCCGAAGAGGCCCCCAAGAGGCCCAAGAGAGCCCCAAGAGCATCAAAGATAATCCGGAGGTGGCAAAGTACATGATTGAAGTGTTTGACCGTTTTTCGTCGTCGCCGTCGTCATCGTCCTCCTTCAGGGCTGGCGGAGCCGGCCGTAAGGCCTTCGCAGTATATGTAGACATCTTATGTCTATGCCTCGAGCTGACTGCTTGAATGAACCAAGCTGTTGGGCATATTTGATTCGTCCATGCTCGGGATAATAATATCGCCTCGACGCCCTCAAGGACAATACTCACACGCGCTCACACATTCGCACATACACACACACACTATTTTTCTCCGATGTGATGGTGGCTTCAAATCGTGGTTGACCTCAATGCGGGGACACCCGCAAAGTAACGTATCCATTTTGTATCGACACGCGCTGGGCAGTAAAAACAGAACACATGCAGGACAACAACGGGGAAGAGCGACAGAGAAAGAGAAAGAAAAAGAGATACCAGACGAATGGCGGTGGAAATGGAGAACGCCAGACCGCGTAGACCAAATATCGACCGACACAAACATGCTAAACTTTACCAGCATAGAATGATACCGGAGAAATATCCCAATCATAATCTTTTAGGGCTATAGGGCTATGGGGCTATAGGACTGCAGGGCTGTAGGGCTATAAGGCTATGGGACTATGGGACTACGGGGCTATAGGGCTTTTGGGCTACGAGACTATAAGGCTACATGACTATAGGGATATAGGGCTATAGGGCAAGAGGGCTATAAGGCTATGGTGCTTTTGGGCTATAGGGCTTTTGGGCTATAGGGCTTTTGGGCTATTAGTGCTATAGGGCTATAGGGCTATAAGGCTATGAGGCTATCAAGCTATAGGGCTCTAGGGCTATAGGGCTATTGGGGCTATAGGGCTATAGTGCTATAGGGCTATAGGGCTGGAGGGCTATGACGCTAGAGGGCTATATGGCTGTAGGGCTATAGAGCTATAAGGCTACCAAGCACCCGGGCACCCAGGCACCTGGGCACCCGGGCACCCATGCGTGCCGCCGAAATCGGCGCCACGCCTGACCTAACCAGATCACTCCGCTAGGACCCCTACAGGGACAAGCTCTGATTGGGGAACATAATGCTAGCTTCGAGCGATCCCCACCGAAACCTTCGGCGTATGTTATGATCTGATGTGTTCTGGTGTGCCATCTTATGCTCTCTGTTATGTTGTGTCGTGAAGTATGGTGTTATGCTATGTTCTGTGTGACCAGTTCTGTCATAGCGTATGGTGTTATGCGATGCTATGTTTTGCTATGCTTTAGCACATTCTGCCGCGCTCTGTCATGCTATGAGTTGTCACAGTATGTACTGTTATGTCCTGTGATGCTGTGCCATGTTGTGGCTGGTTCTTTCATGGTATATTATTTGATACTCGGTTATGCCATGTTCTGTTATACTACGTCATCTTGTGTCATGTATGCTCCGATCTGTCACACCACGCGTTGGTATGCTGTGTTGTGCTATGACAAACAATGCCATGTTTCGTGATATGTGACATGTTCTATTTCGGTATGTTCAGATCTGCGTTGATTTGTTGTGGTGTCCTTGATTTGTTATGTTATGAAATTATTCTTGCGGTGATGCTGTGCCACGGCTGCTCTGTCCTGGTATGGTATGTTACGATATGGTCTGTCATGGTATGGCATGGTATGCTCAGATATGTTATGTTCGGTGGTCTGGTTTTATGCTCTGTTCTGTGGGGGGCCTGGGGATCTGGCGGCCGCGGTATGCAGAGTGGGCGAGTCGGCGCGGGAGGCGGGACCCTCAGGGATCATCGGGGGACCTGGGGATCTGGCTGCCGCAGTATGCAGAGTGGGCGAGTCGGCGCGAAGGGCGGGACCCTCAGGGATCATCAGGGGACCTTGGGATCTGGCGGCCGCAGTATGCAGAGTGGGCGAGTCGGCGCGGGGGGGCGGGACCACCAGGCGTTATCGGGAGACTGGGGATCTGGCGGCCGCGGTCTGCAGGGCGGGGGGGGGACCACAAGGGATTATCGGAGCCTGGGGACTTGGCGGCCGCGGTATGCAGGGCGGGGGGGGGGGGGCGGGACCACCAGGGATTATCGGGAGCCTGGGGATCTGGCGGCCGCGGTATGCAGGGCGGGCGGGCCGGGAGGTTTGTTCTTCAAATCTAGCGAAACCTGTCGGGCGGGGAAACACTGTCAAACAACTGCCAGTTATGTGGGAATCTATGATTCCGAAGCCTGGAAACAACACCTTGCGAAAGACCACGCAGCCACAACACCCACAGCTACCAACATCCGCTGCCTCCTGGCAAGCCCCAGCAGGAGAAGACTGTCGAGCTGGCAAGATCGACGCCGATGCAGAGCCAGTGCAGTCTTCTCAGCCACCATAACTGCAGTCAGCTTTGACCAAGTCCTGCCTGAACCTCTGGCCGCCTATGACCCACAAGAGCATCCGATTGCAGCCTTATCATACTCACGGCCAGCCAAGGGAAACGGTGTCAGCGAGATCCTCTGTGGCGCTTGTGCTCCCCAAAGCGCCGAGATCTTGATGGCAGACCTGATGATCAACACCAAGTGCAGACGGAGACCCGACACGCATCGCCTTGGTCTTGGGGCCCGATCCCGACTGAGAGCGGGTTCGTGCCACCCATGGTGTAAGGACCGAGCCTCGTTTTTTTTTTCTCGTAAAAAAAGGTTTTGTATTAATTTTATTTTGTGTGTGTGTGTGTGTGTGTGTGTGTGTAAATCTATCTATATATACATAATTCATCTTACCCTGTCCTCGCCGATCTTGCTCGGTTTTGGTCGGAGGGTGGTCGGCCCTCGGGCCGAGCATTTCGATGTCCCAGGTGGCCAACCCTCAGCGCCGCCTCGGTCGTGAGCTCCCACCTGCCTCTCGGCGTGCCCGGCGCGCGCGTGGCAGCAGCGCCTCCACTCGGAGGGGGGCCGAGGGCGGGCCACCTTTGGGAGCGGAGCGATGCAGGGCTCCACGCGGTGGCCAGCGACTTGTGACGAGGGGCCGCGGCGCGGAGCCGAGCTTTCAGAGGCCTGGGCAGGCGTGGCACCTCGCGCGAGCCTTCTCGCGTTCATGGCAGGAGTGAAGGCATCGATGCAGGCAGCGCGCGTCGAGCAGGCCTGACACGAACCAAAGCGGAGGAGGAGGCAATAATCACACCAATGGCGACCCACATTTCATGTCTGACCGAGATCTCATCCGCAATCCACCTCCTGATCATCTGCTCAAGTCTGGGACATAGAGAGTTATGTCAGAGGGCGTCGAGGTCCACGCCAGGCTCGGCGACGCATCCACAAAGGCAACCAGCCGCTTGCGAGTGAAACCTCGCAGGGGTACACATATGACCTGTAACCATCCGAAGGGGGGCGATGCCAACGCACATGAAGATAAACGCACATATCTTCGGAGCGTGTTGCATCAGGTAGCGATGTTATGGGGAGAGACAGCGGGGTCGATGAGGCGCGCGCGGCGGAGGAGAGCAGCACAGACAGGTTCGAAGCGCCGCAGAACTCGGAAGGCAAGATGAAATTGATTATGAACTTTTGGTGCAACCGCAGACAGCTCAAGATGACATCCGAAGAACCAGTCTTTCATCTTGCGAGCGTGGCCTAGACATGAACCCGGATTCCAGCCCACAGGCCACCAGGAAGGAATCTGCTCCAGATCCGCTCGAGACGCCTCCAGCTCATCCAAGACGCCATAGAGAAGGTGGGATTTCAACATATTACTGATATTTGCCGCCCGAGAGACCGCCAATATATCAACAAACTCAGTCCGAAACCCGAAAGATCTGAGGTGCGTGGCAACCTTGTGGGAGATGGCATTGCGGGGTCCCGAAGTCCGTCTCATGACTGCGTCCCGATGCCGGTGGATCGGGCCACTGCCAGGCGGGTGCAACTGCGAGCGGAACAGGAGCTTGGCTGCGCGCATAACCTGGAAGGCAGCAGCAGTCTGCGCGATGCCTCAACCGGGTTGGCGAGCTTGGTGAACGCGATCCACAAAGCCAGGAGCAATCGACGTCCAGACCTCCGAGGCCGCAGCCGGGCCAATGGGAAGACCCAAAATTCCCCGGCCCAGCGGTCCAGTGGCGTGCTGAGGCCCCTAGGAGGCCCCAAAGAGGCCCCCAAGAGGCTTCAAAGGGGCCCCATAGAGCGCTCGAGGGCCGGCGGAATGAGCGAAGCGCTTAAATAAACAATCCAGGAGACAACTTGGACCTTGTCGTAGGGGCCGCCAAAACCCGCCAGCGCGGCCAATGAACGAGTGCAGTCTGCGCCGCGACAGATCGCGATCTGGCGCTTCTTGAACTAAGTTTCAGTTTGGGCAACATCATCAATGAAGGGAGGGGCGGATCCAAATCCACGCGCACGTTCGTCAACCCCAAGAGGAAGTCATCCGCGCGCGCAAACAGTCAGGCCGATGTTCGCGGCGCATCGACTTCAAAGCCATTGTAGTAGCAGTTCCACCGCCAACGCGACCATATGCATAGAAACTGGACAACGTTGCTTAACCTCAGATTCGATCGGGATGGTATGCAATCGCTGACCGGCGACGGTGACGACGGCGAGATTCGACCAGTACAGCTGACGGACAAATCGAACGACGGTCATCGGGTTCTCATTCTCCCCTAAGACAAAGAACAGCCAAGCTTGCGAGAGGCTCGGGAAAGCCGATGCAAAGTCGGTCAAGAAGAGCGCTGCGCGCGTGCTGGTTGTCGCACAAATGACGCGACAGGCCCCGAGCCTCCGCCCGCTCGGCGCTCTGAATCACAACCCTCCCCCCAGTGCGCTCTTGCTCCTCCCCCGCGAGCGCCTCAGCGGCAGAGACGCTGGAACTCGCTACTGCTGCGGCGAAAATCTGGATGTCAGTGTTGCTCATGCTGAGCGGTCTGGTACAGGCGGCTGAGCGGGGTGGCGCGTGCCCCGTGCGGCCGGCAGGGTCAGTGCCTTGATGGGGGGAAGACGGGAAGGCTGAGACGCATGCCCCCAGGCGGCGAGTAGATGTCAGAGGAGAGGGAGAGGTCGCAGGAATGCAACAATCGTGAGGCCTCAGGGCGCTTCCAAGCCGCGTAGGGGATCCCGTCGGGGCCAGGCGCGCGGTGGAGGGTTTCCGAGCATCTCGCGCCACGTCGCGTAATCGACCTGCCAGGAGAGGTCCAGCGGATTCTGAGCGTGTTTGATATGGGGCCACCTTTCATCCCAAAGATCAGAGCCAACCGAGGGAGCGCGAAACACCGCTTCCCAGTAGGAGCCCAGGGCAGCCGCATATTCGCCCAAGGATGAGGCGGGAGCCCCATTTTCATGAATAGCCGAGCCCGATCTTGTACGGCGCCTAAACTTGCGCCGGATGAATGAACGTCGCCTATGTCTTGCTGCCGTGGTACGCTTAGTATCTGCGTCCATCTTGGAACGTGATATGTCTAGCTCCTTCTCCGCTCGTGCTTTGCGAAAAGAGGAATGCGCGTGCTCAGAGAGGCCGTGCAGGGGAAGGCAGCGAAGATCATTGTCAAAGTGCACCTGCAACTTCGGGTGACGAGCCGCGGCGGAGCGGAGGCGGCGCTCGTCGCCAGATGCCGTGGAGCGCAAAGCTGCAAGCCCAGAAGCTCTTATCCCGGGTGTTGCGAGCAGTGCGGCGACGCGCAGACGAGCGGGCTTTGCGACGTGCTTCGAAGAAACACTCCTTGGCCAGGGCGAGACATCTCCGCGCGTCCCAGGACTGCGGAATCTCCCCCGAGGGCACCTCCAACGCCTCCCCGAACTCAGGCAGCCAAGCAATCCAATGAGGAATAATGGGCTGGCTGGGGTCGGGCCGAACACGCCCCATGACAGCTCTCGCGGGGATGTGGCCACTCGGTAAATTGAAACGAGTAGCACCAATGGTAGAAGTCGAAATCGTCAGGTCACGAAGGAACGCGGGAAGCAGCGAGGAGAACGTGCAGTCGAGACGAGCCGTTTGGGCCATCGCAGTGCCCCTTCTGCCCCTCCTGGTGGCCCAGTCCTGGTGAAGCTCGGTGCATGCCGGGAAAAAGCCGAAAGAACGGGCGCGGGTGGCGGTCGTCCCCAGAGCTCCGCCCACTCCCATCACCAACCATTCTCTCTTCTCCTTCCAATGAAAAAGTTCAGCCACCGAGAAGCAGCGCATTGGCCAGGGGGCCATCGCCGCATGGCAGAGTCCGCCGCTCGTCGGGCTGCAATCAATGGGGCGCAATAGAGAAAAGGGAGAACAGGTCAGAGGTGGTGGGCAAATTAAAGTTCTAGATGACGAGATTCCCATACCTACTCTGACACTTTCGCTCTTCAAGATCCCCCCGACGACCAACGTAGTGTGGGCGATGGTAGAGAAGAGACCCAAACGCTCGGAGGAGAAGGCTGTAAGTACGTCGCCCTAGGCGGTCGTGTCATCGAACAAAGACGCGGCAACTCGGCGCCGTTCGAGCTGTCGTTTAAGCCCGCCGATGCCCCCCCGCTGACCATGCGTTTCCCGCGCTGCAGTGATATGATGTCTGTGGCGAAGCCGTAGAAACTGGCGACGTCGCGCTGATGCCTCCCAGGGCGAGGGGCGGACAGATGCGAGCGGCGCCTCCGAATTTTAAGCGCGCGTGGATGACGAGACGGGCGGCGAGACTAGAGCGCGGGAGGCAAGACTGGGGGGGGGGGGGGCTGGCGCCTGGCCGCAGGTGCAATCGGCCCCAGCGCGAAAAAGGGCGTCGGATGCGCGCCGCTGCCTCTGCCCGCGCCGTCTCGACGAGTGGGGCGACCCCGAACTCGACGAATGCATCGCGGCCGACTTCGCGCAACGTGTTGCCGTCGCTCGGCATGTTAATCTTGGCGGCGGGGGCTGGGTCACCGGCCCCACGCGTGATGTGCCCCCCCCCGATCCCGAGCCCCCGGCGTCGAAGCCCAATGGGGGCGAGGGTCTCAGGGAGTTTGCCGCGCGCGCGTCCAGCGTGAAGAACTCATTGCCTGGGGTTCAGATCCAGATCGCGGCGCTATCGGAGAGGGGAGGAAGGGAGAGAGAGAGAGAGAGAGGGAGAGAAATAGAGAGAGAGAGAGAGAGAGAGAGAGAGAAAGAGAGAGAGAGAGAGAGAGAGAAAGAGAGAGAGAGAGAGAGAGAGCAAGAAAGAGATAGAGAGAGAGAGAAGGAAACATAGAGAGAGAGAGAGAGAGAGAAAGAGAGAGAGAGAAGGGGGAAAACAAAAGAGAGGGGAATCAGGGTGAAGTTGATCGGGCGCGGTCCAGTGACCGCCAACGCGAGAGCAATTATCTAGAAACGAGCTCGCGTCGTTGGGGTGCTCGAGCAGCGGCGTACCATTCTTCGAAAGGTCGAATGCACTCGCAACGATGCTCGCCTGAGTCTACAAATAGGGCAGAAGTCGACTTGCATGCCGCGCCATCTGTGTTGCTATCAACTAGTAGAAACGGGCGAGGGAAGCCTAAGGGCACGAGCTTGCAGGCATCGTGTTGCTGCCTCTCAGATGCCACTTCTCCAGCGGCGCGCCTCGGCTGTGAGCGCGGCGAGGAAACGGGCGTCGGGTGGGGGATGGATCTCGCAGGATTTGGCCCCAGTGACGCGTCGGGCCTCCTGCAGCTCGTCAACCTGGGACTCCAGCTCTCCGCGCTTCGCCCCGGGGATCGGCTGGTCAGTGGCCGTGCCCAGTGGGGGGCCAGCCAGCGAGAGCCCCATCTGCTCGATCTTATCGCCCTGCGACTTGAGGGCGGACGTGAGCGGATTCTGCCATTCGTCATGTTTGCGACGAACATCCTGGCCACAAAGTACAAGCTGATCAGAAAGTTGGGAGCGTCGATTCAAACTGCCTTGAACTCGGGGGCGGAGGTCGATTATGTCCTGCGTGTTCTGCATCATCATCTGGTGCGTAGATGCGAACGACCCCGTGATGCCCTCAAGCTGGAGCGAAATCGACGGGTCATCGCGAGACTCGGTCCTGCCAGGACTGCGGCTGGCAGAACGGCGTGTGCCTGAACCCGAGGAGGGAAAGGTCGACCGACCAGGTGTCCGACGCCCAGATCGGCGCGTCTGTCGATCAGCAGGGCGCAATGTCCCCATCGCGGCAGCTGACGAAAGGACGTTCCGAACTGGTATCGAAGGCGGATGTATGACCCCCCAAAGAGCTCACTGAAAGGAGATACAGTCAGACGCCTAAGAACGGGCTGCGTCAGCTGAGCTCCGAAATGGTCCGGCACCACCTCGACATGTGTTACTTGAGCCAAAACGGCTTGAGTCAGAATGGCTACGGAGCGAGCCTCAACTGATCTTGAGCTGGCGTCGCCCTGGGGTAAGGACCCAGCTCCGAGTGAGCTCGAGCTCGTGTCTCGCCATGTGTGCAGGACCACATCCAGCCGAATTTGGGCTCCCGCCGCTGTCAAGCGACCCCGATTGCACCAACACCGCTGGCTGCCTGTCAGCGTCAGGGCGAAGCAACCGCTGCAGCGGCGGCGCCCATATCTATCTTCAGCGCATTTGCGTGTGCCCGAGCGAAGTAAGCCTCCTCCTCCTTCTCCTCCTCCTCTTCATCCCGCCCCCCTCCCCCCCCCTCCCAACCTCCCTCCGTCCCTTCCCCTCCCTCGCTCATCGCTCCTCCCTGCTCTCGCGTCTTCGTCCTTCCTTCTGCCTCCTCCCCCTCCCTTCGTCCCTCTCTCTGTTCCCCCTATCCTTTCCACCCCCTGACGTGTCCTCTCCCGTCTCCCTTCCTCGTTTCTGATGGCCCAACAACTGTACTATGTTTATGTTCCCCATACTGCTGTTCACATGTAAGACTGCCCCGAAGTGGCTTTCGATATTTGTTGTTCGATCGAAGCGTTCTCGGCCCTTCGAAAACGATACTCCCGCTGCAATGCTGGCCGCATTTCAGGATCGGTGCCGCTGTCGTCGTTCATACTTGCACTCTCGCCATATCGCGGGCCACAGTTCTGGATCTGATTCGTTCTTCATCGTTGCCGTCCCATTTTTTCCTCCTCCGCCGTCCCCTGGTCCTCCTGCTCCTCCTCCTCCTGTTCTTCTCCTCCTCCTCCTTTCTCATATTCCGGATGTCCTTTTTTATTATTCCCCACATTCTAAGTGGGGTTCTGATTTTCTCTCCACCCGCGTCACACCCGCGTCTCACCTCACCTCCTCCTTCTCGCTCGTACACACACCACACCACACCACACCACATCGCACCACACCACACCACGCCACACCACACCACACACCACCACACCACACCACACCACACCACACCACACCACACCACACCACACCACACCACACCACACCACACCACACCACACCACACCACACCACACCACACCACACCACACACACCACACCACACCACACCACACCACACCACACCACACCACACCACACCACACCACACCACACCACACCACACCACACCACACCACACCACACCATCCGTCACATCACATCACATCAAAGACACACGCACATCACATCACACCACACCACACCACACCACATCACCGCGGTCTCTATCCGCCCCAGGGTCGCAGGGCGTGGCAGGCGTGGCACTTGCTCGACACCATAGGGGGTGTGCAGGGAGTGGTCCCTCACCGCGGTCTCTGTCCGCCCCAGGGTCGCAGGGCGTGGCAGGCGTGGCACTTTCTCGACACCATAGGGGGTGCGCAGGGGGTGGTCTCTCACCGCGGCCGCTATCCGTGCCGGTCGTCCAGGGCACAGCAGGCATGGCATATTCTCGACACCATAGGGGGTGCGCAGGGGGTGGTCTCTCACCGCGGCCGCTATCCGTGCCGGTCGTCCAGGGCACAGCAGGCATGGCATATTCTCGACACCATAGGGGGTGCGCAGGGGGTGGTCTCTCACCGCGGCCGCTATCCGTGCGGTCGTCCAGGGCACAGCAGGCATGGCATATTCTCGACACCATAGGGGGTGCGCAGGGGGTGGTCTCTCACCGCGGCCGCTATCCGTGCCGGTCGTCCAGGGCACAGCAGGCATGGCATATTCTCGACACCATAGGGGGTGCGCAGGGGGTGGTCTCTCACCGCGGCCGCTATCCGTGCCGGTCGTCCAGGGCACAGCAGGCATGGCATATTCTCGACACCATAGGGGGTGCGCAGGGGGTGGTCTCTATCAGGGCACAGCAGGCTCGACTATCGCAGTGGTCTCTCAGGGCACAGCAGGCCGTATCGACATCGGGGGTGCGCAGGGCGTCAGGTCATATTCTCGACACCAGAGGGGGTGCGCAGGGGGTGGTCTCTCACCGCGGCCGCTATCCGTGCCGGTCGTCCAGGGCACAGCAGGCATGGCATATTCTCGACACCATAGGGGGTGCGCAGGGGGTGGTCTCTCACCGCGGCCGCTATCCGTGCCGGTCGTCCAGGGCACAGCAGGCATGGCATATTCTCGACACCATAGGGGGTGCGCAGGGGGTGGTCTCTCACCGCGGCCGCTATCCGTGCCGGTCGTCCAGGGCACAGCAGGCATGGCATATTCTCGACACCAGAGGGGGTGCGCAGGGGGTGGTCTCTCACCGCGGCCGCTATCCGTGACGGTCGTCCAGGGCACAGCAGGCATGGCATATTCTCGACACCATAGGGGGTGCGCAGGGGGTGGTCTCTCACCGCGGCCGCTATCCGTGACGGTCGTCCAGGGCACAGCAGGCATGGCATATTCTCGACACCATAGGGGGTGCGCAGGGGGTGGTCTCTCACCGCGGCCGCTATCCGTGACGGTCGTCCAGGGCACAGCAGGCATGGCATATTCTCGACACCATAGGGGGTGCGCAGGGGTGGTCTCTCACCGCGGCCGCTATCCGTGACGGTCGTCCAGGGCACAGCAGGCATGGCATATTCTCGACACCATAAGGGGGTGCGCAGGGGGTGGTCTCTCACCGCGGCCGCTATCCGTGACGGTCGTCCAGGGCACAGCAGGCATGGCATATTCTCGACACCAGGGGGTGCGCAGGGGGTGGTCTCTCACCGCGGCCGCTACCCGTGGGTCGTCCAGGGCACAGCAGGCACGGCATATTCTCGACACCAGAGGGGGTGCGCAGGGGGTGGTCCCCCAGTAGTTTCGGGCTCGCAAAGTGTGGCAGGCGTTGCATTTTCTCGACGCCAGAAGGGGTGCGCAGGGGGTGGTGCCCTTATGCGGCGCGGGCTCGTAAAGTGTGGCGGGCGTTGCACCTTCTCGACACCACAAGGGGGTGCGCAGGGGGTGGTCCCCCATATCCGCTTCGGGCTCGCAAATTGTGGCAGGCGTTGCACGTTCTCGACACCACAGGGGGTGCGCTGGGGCTGGTCCCCCCTATCCGTTGCGGGCTCGCAAAGTGTGGCAGGCGTTGCAGATCCCCGACGCCACAGAGGCGAACGACAATGCCAGGAGGCTGTGCTTGGTGCAACATGATATGACCACGCAGGATCTGAAATAAGTATGTGGGGTTCCTCGGTAGCATAATTCTCCTGCTCATCCGCCACCTCCTCCTCGTCCACGTGTATCACCATTTCTGATTGCCCAGAGCACGATGGGGTCATTGTGGGTCGGCGGACACAAACACATCAATGCAATGGGAACGACTGCGTTGGAGAGGGTGGGTATCAGATATGGCGCGAACGCGCCTAGCTTGATATGGCTACTACTCTCCTCTCTCCCCGCGTGTACTGTATATAGGCTAGCCAGAGTGGGCCCCTGTCCGTTTTTTTCTATAATGTTTTGAAATGCGGTCTACGTGGTGCAAACCATGTGCTGGAAACTCTGTCGTGCAGTCCCCGTGGCGCAATCTATGTGGTGTGACCAGTACTTGCGCAACATATAGAGTTACACACTTATTTATCTATCTATTTACATGTGTACCCCTACACATAGGTGTATATTTTTATATATATATATATGCAATTGTACAAATAACTATAAACACATATGTATATACACATGCGTACGTAATTCAATATAGTAGGTGTGATCAGTGTGGTGCCAATCTAGGTGGTGTGAGCTATGTGGTGCAATCTCTGTTAAGCAAACTATGTGATGCAAGCACGTTGGTGCAACTTATGTGGCGCCAACCTGTGGTGCAAACTATTTGGTGGAAGCGCTGTGGTGCCATTGGTTGTGATTCGCAGTGGGTTGTCAACTCCACTTTTCGCGCAATCGTCCCGCCCACCTACCGGCAACGTGGCTTGCAAAACCCATGAGGCGGCAATTCGGGTGCCTGCTGGCTGGCGCATCGCTGCGGCCGCGCTAGCGCGCGTAAGCTCGCGCGCAAAGCGGCCAGCTAGTCTGGCGCCACCGACGCGGCCACTGTGGCGCTGACCGCTGGGGACTTCCCATGGCGTCTCACAGGCCGTGTTGATGCGTGGGCATTTCAATGCGAATCGGTCGCCCGGGCGGGCGCGGTATCATTGCGACGTCGACAACGGCAGACACGATGATGCTTGCAACGATGCTAGTGGCGACGGTGTCGATGACGACGGCAAGGAAAATCACGGCGCCGATGCTGATCACACTGATGACGATGATGGTGTCCGCGCGTCGGTGATGAAGGTCCTAGAAAGATTTCGACACGCGCGCGGCCGACGGGCGCGAATGGCCCGCATGGATTTTTTGGAATGATTTCGACATGCGCGCGCGCGGGAGGTCACATTTGACAAACACGTTGGACAACCGATGGTTGTCTCAAGAATTCGCAAAAGCTCGCGCGCAGACTTTTTCTTGATGTTGCAAGGCCCTGTGCTTTTAGGTGTTTTCGGGACACGGGATTCCGTACGAAACCTGATTTTTAATAGAATTTCGGCATGCGCGCGCGAAGACGCGCGGGTGTGCAGTTCGTCCATTTGTTTTGCAAGGGGCTCTTGAGAATGGATGACTTTGAGCAGCGAATGTGGGCGCATAGTGTTTTTTCCACAGGATGTTTGGGGGTGTTGATACCAGCTGTGCTGGGATGGTACGAATTCAAAGTTAGAATGAACGATGGGGCAGAATCGTTTGTAAATTGTACATCCCCAGGGATTAGAGATAATCCCAGGGGGCGGGTGGGTGGTAGATTCGAACTATTTTTTGAAACGAGACTCTAGGTTCAATCTACGTGGCGGTGCAATCCATGTGGTGCCCTGTAGGTGGTGCAGTCTATGTGGTGCAAAATGCGCGGTGGAAGCCATGTGCTGCAATCTACGCTAAGCAATGCAACGCAAGTGAACACAATGGAAGACAGTGCTGGACAGTACGTGCCACTGCAAGGCAATGCGAAACACTGTAATGCGATGCGCTGCGATGCGAGCGGGGTGCGTTGCAACGGGGGGGGCGGCGACGAGGCGGCGACGGGGGAGGCGACGGCGACAACAAGCCAGCCGAACCGACACCCAGGCCCTGGCGACGGGCGGCGACGAGGCGGCGACGGGGGCGGCGACGGCGACAACAGGCCAGCCGAGCCGACACCCGGGCCCAAGCGACCGGGCGGCGACGGGGGCGAATCGACGGCGACAACACGCTGGCCGAACCGGCACCCAGGCCCAGTGCCTTTTCGACCAAGTCGTAGCCTTGAAGTGCAAACACCGTCTGCGGCATTTTCTTACGTATGCAGGGTGGTCTCGAGTTGGCTCTCGACATGTGTTCTAATCAGAGCGTCGTCGGCCTCTCAAACATAAGACTCAGGCTGCAGCGCTGGCCGCATTCCATCCTCTGCGATTTGCGGCCGTCGGTCAGATCTGCGCTCTCGCCCAAGGCGCTGGCCACATATCTGCATCCCAATCGTTCCTCGTCGTTGCCGTCCCCCTTCTTTTCCCTCCTGCGCCTTCCCCTGGTTCTCCAGCTCCTACTCCTCCTACTGCTCCTGTTGCTGCTCCCCCTCCTTCCATCATCCTGCTAATTCTCTTGCTCATCGACCACCTCTTCGTCCAATGTGCAATGCCCCCTATTGTGCATCACGCGATAGGGCAATTTTGAGGAGCATGGTCCTCTAGGACACCCCAGATGGCGGATAGAACAGAACTCAGCGCAATGGGAAGGGATGCGTCGGAAGGATGGAATGTATACCGTCCAAGGCTCCGGGCCCCCACCCCTCGCTCATGCTGATGCCTCCGGGCTCCCCCCCCCGCGCGATGGCCCCCCCCCCTGCCCCACTGTGGACGTGGGTGGTTGGGGGGTGTCAGTGTCCTCCCCCTCCCCCTGTGGGTCTGGGGTGGTGCTACGGTGCCGTCGTCTTCGTCGTCGTCGTCGTCGTCCCATCTGGGGGGAGGGGGGTCCGTGGGGCCTGTGGCACATGCCATTTTGGGGGGGGGGGTGCGGGCGTGAACCCTCGACCAGGGATCAGACATGGCGCGCGAACCTGGCTTATTCCCCCTCCCTCTCCATTTTCTTCCTCTTCCCTTTCCTCCTCCCCTCTCTGCATCCCCCTTCCCTGTTCCCTTCTGCCCCTCCCTCCCTACCTCTCGCGTTCCTCCTCCTCCTCCCCGCTGCTGCTCCTCCTTCTATACCTTACGTCTCTACCTTCCTCCCAGCTCCCTGCTCCCTCTCCTTGCCCTCCCCTTCCCTCCCTCTCTTCCTGGTCGTTCTGCATTTTCTCTCTATCCTCGTCACCTTCCCCATTCCTGTGAACAGTGGGACGCGGAGCGGGGACGGCAGGGTCAGGGGGGTAGGGAGGGGGAATAGGGAAGGGGGGGGATGGTGAAGGGGAGTGCCACGGGGGAGGAGTGAGGAGGGATTCGCTGATGAGAAGGAAGACGATCAGGAGCATTATCATGAGGGAATCGTGATCAAGCACCCCCCGAAACTTCGAACATCGATCCAGACATCTTGGACGGTACCTCCTGCTCACACCCTCAATTGTCTACGTCGGAGGTCCTGACCTCTTGCGCTGCTGCAAGAAGAGACACGGTCGACTCCTCCTCAAACCAACAAATTCATAAGAATGAGCACGTGCGATATGGCATGCTGTTGACGGGCGAACATTCTGGAATGCCTAGGCGGGTTCGGTTTTCGGGCCAAGATCGGCTTAGATGTCGCTCCCTGGATGTCGCTCCCTGGATCGCCAAACTTCCCAGCGCGCCAATGCCATCCGCGTGCCCCCTGAAGCCCACACGGGTCATCCTCCACCTTCTGCTTCTCCTCCGTTCTTCGCCTGGAGCTTCCCTCCCGAGTCGTCTCTATTTGGCCCTGTACCCCCTGCTGCATGCCAAGGAGACCAGCGAGAACCAACTCCTCCTCTTGCACGCCAACTTCCGCTGGGTCAGCGTTCCCTGCGAGATCAATGATCGCCCAGAACGCCAGCGTGCACTCGGCAAATATCTGCGCCTGCGGCCAGGACGAGTCGGGGAGAACGTGAACGCTCAAAGGATACGCACTGGGCGTGTTGGACATTTACCTCCAATTGCTCATGTGAGGACCGTGTTTGTGTCTTTGTGTGTGTGTGTGCGTGTGTGTGTGTGTGTGTGGGTCTTTGTGTGTGTGTGCGTGTGTGTGTGTGTGTGTGTCTCCGCCTCGTCGCTACGCACCGAGGCCGCGGCCGCCAAACAATGCGTGTGTGTGTCTCTCTCTGTGTGTGTGTGTGTGCGTGTGTGTGTGTGTGTGTGTGTGTGTGTGTTTGCGTGTGCGTGTGTCTGTGTCTCTGTGTGTGTGTGTGTGCGTGTGTATGTGTCTGTGTCTGCGTGTGTGTGTGTGTGTGTGTGTGTGGTGTGTGTGTGTGTGTGTGTGTGCGTGTGCCTGTGCGTGTGCGTGTGCGTGCGCGTGCGCGTGCGCGTGTGTGCGCGCGTGTGTGTGTGTGTGTGTGTGTGTGTGTGTGTGTTTGCGTGTGCGTGTGTCTGTGTCTGTGTGTGTGTGTGTGTGTGTGTGTGTGTGTGTGCGTGTGTATGTGTCTGTGTCTGCGTGCGTGTGTGTGTGTGTGTGTGTGTGTGTGTGTGTGTGTGTGTGTGTGTGTATGTGTGTGTGTGTGTGCCTGTGGGACCCGTCCTGCCACGATGCTAGGAAGCTCGACGAGTTCATGTGATGGGCTGGCGACGCCACGGGATTGGAGGTGCTCGATCTTTTCAGCCCGAACGCCTACCAGGAGCCCTCCCACCACAGCCATGACCACGAGGGCGCTGGCCGTGCGCGGTCGCGCCGCAGGTCTGCGCCTGCTGGCTCTCGATGGACGCAGGGCGCTTCACCGCGCTCTGGCCCCAGCGATATGGGGCTCCTCGCTGTCTCCTACCCCTGCTCTGCGCCCTCGGTCCTTTGCCCCGCATTCGCGAGCAGCTCGGCCTCGGGTATCTTGCGTGTCTCCCCCCACAGACATGGCCATCGCACGTACACGCGGCGGCCGCATGATGGCGCGCATCGGCCGCTGGCGCGCCAGAGGCCCTCCGCTACCGTGGCCTGTCCTCCCCGTGGTCGCGGTGCTCGCCCAGGTTCGGGCCGAGACGTGGCGCCCGTGCGTGGACTGCGGGATCCACACGTGGCGCGCCTGCCTGGGCTACGCTATCCTCAACGTCCGTCAGGCGGCTGCTGGTCATCTTTTTCTGCGGCTGCTGCAACCATGACGGCTCCTGCTGCCACTTCTGCAACAGATGGCCCTGGGCCAGCCCCCCGACCGTGGCACGTCCAAACCCATCGTGCGCGTCGACGACCAGGTCACCTACCTCCGGGACGGCGGCGACCCCGGCGCCGCTCCTCTCACAGGCTTCGAGCGTGCAGTGCGGGACGGCATTGAAGGCCTACGGGCCGACGGCCTCTGGCGGGGGGGAGCCGTCGACTCGACCGAGGGCCCTCGGATGGGCCACTCTTCTGCCGTCTCAGCCCCCCCTTTGGGCCTGGCCGGGAGCCGCCGCGCTGCCCCGCCCTGCCCCGCGCCCGACGCTGTCGATCTGGACGGCCGCTCCCTAACCCGTACTCGCCTTAACTGTCACGAGTGCGACTGTCAGTGGTTTGTCCCTGACTCTGCTTCCCCACGTCGCCTAGTTGCGAAGACGTGCCAGCCATCGATGGGTGCTTCTTCTTGCCCGCTCTCAGCTACAGGTCTGAGGCTCTTGCCGCCACGCCGCAATCGATGGCTGCACCCGTCCTCCAGCAGGCGTAGTGATGATAATCCCAAGGGTAGGAGTGAATCGCAGGAGCGACGACTCATGTCAAGCGAAAATGTTTTCGGTTTCAATGGCAAGTAATGTGCCTCGCGATGAGGCGCAGTCATATTTTGGCGGCCGCCCGCTTGATCATAAACGGCCGCGAACAAACGCTCGCTGCCTCTCGCCTTTGCCCTAGCCTCCGGGAGGAAACGAAACATGAGTCCGCCGCCAGCTATTCAGCATAACGCTATAATACACAAGGTAGGCAACAGCAGGCGGTCTCAACAAGGCCGGTTGGCCCGCATGCAAGTTACCTTGCAAGCAAGTTACCTCGCAGGCAAATAACCCTGCAGAAAGCTACTCCTCATGCGGCTCAGACGATCTTGTCTGGCCAGCCCTGTATGGAGTGTGTCGCTTTAAGCCCTGCTTGAAGGATTGCGATCCTCCCATGAGGTGTAGGTGAATGTCTCTGTCGATGCTCCCTTTGGTGTGGTCATCCGCAATCAAATCGCGAGTGTCACACCACTGTACACAGTGCACGATTCCTCGCTCCATCATTTGTCGTATCCAACTGATGTGTCCCAGAAGTGTACACCCAGTCGGTTTCTTCAGGTCTTTGCTGGACAAGCTCTTGAAGACATATTCAGCATCGATGGTCAAGGTGACCTTAATGCTTAGGCCACCCATCTCAAGTATGTCCTTCAACTGAGTGGGTGTCAGCGGCTCTTCGTGGAGGTGCAGAGTAACGGTCGTGGGAAAGCGGTCCTCCAAGTTGTGGGCCGCTGCAAGTGTGTCCGCTGGGTAGCTCGCGCGGACCTGCAAGCGATGAGACTCGCAGTGCGCGTCGACAAACTGGACAACGGGCTTGCCAGCATGCGTGTCCACGCCGTAGCAGGTTGCCCCGCGAATTCCATGGCCTCTGACCTCGTCGTCGGCATCTCCGCTCAGACGTGAGTCAGCGGAGTCGCTGTGCAGGTCGACCTCGCCCGTCGGAGTCATTGCTTGATGGGCAATCTTCATAAGCCCGGCCTGCGACTTCCTGGTAATCGCGTTCAGTCGGCGCACTCGCATATTGGTCGGTTCCCGGACACGCAGTAGTGAAGCCGCATATACCATTAACCAAACTAGTGTGATAAGGGCGTAAGCCAAAGCGCCTCTGAGGCTGACAAACATGTCAGTCACTATCTTCGACGCCTTAGCCTCAGCATCTGCGCCCGTGAGTTCATGATGCTGGATGGGGCGGAGCTGTTTTATATCTTCGTCCTGGTCAAGTGTAACATTGCCGTCGCCGTGCTTCGTGTACCTCGCGGCACAATTGGTATATGTGTGTTTGTTGAGTTTACATTTGCCCAAAGTATCCTCAGTGCACAACGTGCCTGTCGATTGTGTCCTCAGTGCCGGCCATGTTTATGTCATCGACATGCTTGGCTGTAAGAAGGTCAGAACTTGTCGCGAACTCCTCGTCGTAGAACGTGGGTTTGAGACTGAGCCCTCTCGTGGTCCTTCTGAGCCTCAGTGAGAAGGCTCTCGGTGCATCCTTGGCGCCAGTGTCTGGTTTGAGGCGATGCGAACAGTGTCTCGACTCATCGTGGCGCTCGAATCCTTGGGGGGATCTGGGCGGAGATGCTGACCCATGTGGCAATGTGAAGCACGCCGCGCGTTCCTTCTTACCGTTTGCTTCAGCAAGTACCTGATAGGTGAGTCCCTTCAGGAAAGCCATCTTGATGTCGAGGGGAGCAATGACCCACTGCTTCGAGCGCGCTACCGCGCTGGCGAGTCGTCGCTGACTTGGCCGCCGCGCCGTTCCTGAGAACGTCTCCGCATCGATGGCTTCGAGGTCCATGACACCTCTTTGTGCCGGGCGTAATCTGATGGCACCTTCCATATGGCCCTTCGCGTTCTTGACGAACTTCCATGTGTGTGCATATCTCGAAGTCATGATGTTTGGCGCTTTGGATATATATATATATATAATATGTTAAAGCACTTGTTGTCAAGGCATGTCTTGAGTTCAGTATAAGGGGCCTTTGATACCTTGACTGGTTTCGCATGGGTACCAGCCTTCGCGAGAAAGTCGCCATCCTTGACGACTGCAGTTCGTTTTATCTGCAGTGGCCACATATACTCGCATAGTGGTTGCGCGGTCGAATTACAAAATTTTGCATGGTAGGACTACTTCTGACATGTCTGCCGTGAAGCAGAGCTCTACATATTGTCCGTGTTCGTCAGAGTCCAGTCCATCACTGTCGTCTTCGTCCGCGGAGCACAGTGGAACATGATATGTCTCCGTTGTGTCCATGTCCCGTCGGCTTCCCCACGTAGGCAGGTCCCCCCGCTGTCCTTCAGCTACTGTGACCAGCACGCTGTTGTCAGTGATCACCTGTGTGGGTGCAGTGTAAAACTCGTCCATTGGAGTTGCTCCAGTAGTGCTCTTTCGTCTTGTAGTTCTGTGTACCACACTTCAACAGTGTGTGCCTCGAGATCCACCTCTGATTCCTCATGGATGGTGGGAAGCCGTCCATCTTCCTGTGGTGGTTCGACTTCTGGGGCCTCCCTGGCGTCGTTGCCTTGTGCAGGTACGTCGGCCAGTTCTTCGAACTTGTTCATGTCTTGGTCGAAGCCCGCTTGAGGTTTGGTGGGCAGTAAGCGCTGGGTGATCCTTGAATGTGCTGATCCAGTTATACCTTGTATGTTTAGGGCAGTGCCTTCGGCTTCGTAGTAGTGGAAGCCAGGGTTCACGTCGTTGTCGTAGTGCAGCTGTGTACAACTGTCAGATTAAATCGCCGGAGGTAGCTTGTGAATGCTCTTGGCCCGCCTGGCGGAAATTAAATTCTCGATGCGATGGAAGTCCCTGATAGGGTACTGAAGAGCTAAGTGTACCTCAGGAGATAGTCGGCTTGCAGTCGCCATCTTGAGCGCTCCCTTTTTGGTCGGGAGGCATCCAAGTGTTATAGCAGGTCGCACCGCAGGTGGACTGGCTATGGATGCCAACGCAGTCCGTAATGCTGCGTTGCCCGAACCAATCTCTCGAGTGATCAAAGCTTCAATGCGTAATGAATGTCGTGCATCACCGTGCTGGACTGGTACATCGCGGCCCCCCCCCCTTGCGATGACCCGGCCCCTGTCGGGATCATTCCGTGGGACCGCGGAGGTTCCATTCCAGCCACCCCGATCGTCCGTTGTAGTAGTGGGACGGTGATAGTCAACCAGGCCTCCCTCGTCATCGTAATGCTGACCAGTGATAGTGGTCTTGGT